AGAGAAGAGAACTGGACTTCTCAGACCTGTGGTTGCTCCAGAAAGGTCTATCAGGGCAACAGTAAAAATTCCATTAGAACAACTATGTATTTTACACGGCTTTGCTGTTTTTCACTTGCCCTTAGTCAATGGTGATCTATGCACTATTTCTAAAGAGTATGCAAAAGGCTACCACAAAATGCAAGTTCAAAAGTATTCTGAATAACAGTACAGGTAAATTAAACCACTAAAGAGGCCTTATCTTCAGTAAAAACAATTTATTAATCTACAAGCCAAAACATATTGAAAATAGCTGCCTCTAATGCACCAGTAGACATATTTATTTAAACAAACAAACTCTTGGTTCAACATAACTCACTAAGCACTACTGCTGTCAGAGCTAGTCTGTTTGACATCTACTCACTTGTGTCCTGGTACGGGTTCTACAGGGTGGCCAGATCAGCATTAATCAAGAAGGTACCACAAAGGGACTAATAAGCAGCTCCAATTTTTTCCTCTGAACTTCTCTAATAATTGCTCTGGTGCTTTTACCCAGGTGAACAAGCATCACCCCAACAGTACGAAGCTACACTGGTTATGTAATGAAACAACTTCCAGTCACAGCAATGCAGGAATCAACTAAAGGGAGAGAATTAATGTGTGCAAACAGAACAGCTCTAATAAGGGTGCTGGAAGTTCAGGCAAACTCGGTGAATTCTTTATGGATGAGAGAGGCCTCTGATAGATACACGTGATACCTAAAACCTAATTTATAATCACTCGACAGAAATCAATTAAGCAGTAAAAGCAGAAAAGCCTCCTCTTCCCCTTGAGTGCAAACTGCAGGGTTTAGTGGGCAACACACCACACAAACATACACTCCACCATACACACCTTGGAGAAGGCCTCATCATTACCACTCCAAGACACACCCAGGAATTCACACTGGGACTGGCAGCACCTGAGGCACCACTGAAGCTCTGGATAAAGTTACGTCAAAACGGTAAGAGATGGAGAACGAGAAATTTATAATGTTCAGCTGTGGATTTACAGGAGGCTATGAGGCTAACAAGTGCACCTGAAAGACTTAACAGAGGTACTGAAACAGGTGGCAATGTTTGCCAAGTGCAGTTAGGATGAAAAATGATTGGGAGAGGCTCATGTTTATAATTACATGGTGAAGGTCCACTTACCAATTTCCATATACTTTCCTTTTTTTTTTTTTTTGCAGGGGCTGGGGGGAAGAAGAGCACAACAACACCATCTTCCCAGATTTTATCTCTTTTGAGAATAACAATGAACAAATAAGGGAGGCAGCTGGACGCACCGAGCCAGCGGTGCACATTAACATGCAAGGAACCTCAATCTTGGAATATCCTCCAACTTCTCCGACAAGCAGAGAAGCAGAAGTGGCACAAATTCATTTCAGAAGTGGCGTTCGTGGCCTTATAGGGAAGCAAAGAGGATGGAGCTTACACCCCCGGCAGGATCCCTACATCCAGCTCCTGGCCTGGGCTGCCCGTACCCAGCAAAGCTACCGCGGGGCCGCCGATCCCAAGGACAAGCCGGGCCCCGGGAAGGCTCCGGTGCAGCCGGAGGGCCACATCGCCCTGTCTCTCCTGGGCGAGAGGATCAGCCTCGGGAAAGAAAGATGCTCTTGCAGGAGGGCGGGCAGCGATTCCCGCGCCTTAGACGGGCATCCTTTCAACCGGAGGGGTACAGCCACACCGGGGGGGAGTGGGTGGGTGAGTGCCCGCCGCCGCCCCCC